GACGGCACCGATTCTAAGCGTAGAGGCACCAGATGCCACGATGATTGGCAGCTTTGTGCCATTGTGAGTTGGTGGCAGATCAGAAGTGTGTATCACCTATAGCCTGAAGACTGTTTTTTTCTTACCAACGCTGAGGGACATCCTTCCAAAGCGATTGATTTTAGTAGGGGTAGAATGCCACTTAGCAAATGCGGGAATAACAAAAAGGAACATATTGTTGAGACGACCTTAGGAGGCGACATTTGCTGTGTAGCTGGAACGTTCACCGGGTCACAATGACGGACGAAGGCGTCAAGCATGAAAGAAGTTACTTTTTGTCGTCAAAAGGAATTGACAATTCTCAGGAGGGAGGCGGAGGCCGTTGTCCCGAGTGCATAATGAGAGGGCACTGATCTGATCGAGAAGCTCTTTGCGTGATACGACAATGATCAGCACGTCTTCGAGTGTGCGATGACTCCTGGGATGCTGGAAATGATGGCGTAAATCAACTACTGGAAAACTGCTTGAGCGATTTTGCCACAAACAAAAGGCCGGTATTGCTAAATCTTGCAGTGTGTGTTGATTGCTATCAGCGGGCACGATTTTGGCGCGACTTCAGAAGCAAGATAATCTTTCGCGAAGAGCTTCCAACCGTTAAAAACTGTGAATAGATCTCGGGCACTGCCAATGGATAGTGATGCTGTCAGAGAGCTTCATTTAGGCCGGTTAAGAAATCGGCACATGTGGAGGCCACCGTTAGGTTTCTTCATAACGACGATCGGCACTACCCAGGCGGAGAAGAATACAGGTGACGGAGCGCTTTGTTGTTCCAGCCGTTGACGTTTGGTATCTGCCAGCGGAAGGGAAGCGTACTGGGCTTGTCTCTTCGGACGGAAGGCTGGCGTAGCACCTGACAGGAAGTGCATGCGCTGTCTTGGGTAGCCTGTCTGAGTGTCGGTTGTCCTAGCGTGCGTCAAGTGCTCCCTGCAGTGATGGTAATGTCCGACGAAATGTCCTGCCATAGACGGACTGGATGACTGCTGACGGTGACTGAGATGCTTTCAGTGACCCGGTGTGCTGGTATAATTAGTAGTCAGCAAACTGAGAGAAGAGCCAACAGAATTCGATTCCGGTTTAGGATGGACGCATTATGATGGAGTTGGAACACCATAGGCAGCATGCATCCGTGACCTACAATAACTATCTTTATGCCCCACGTACTTACATTGGCGGCGCTGATGCTGCTTGCAGAACAGAGCCTGACAAAGTGCCAGGCCTCACAGTGCCAACATTGTGAAGGTGTTGTCTTCCTTGGGTCTTTGTCTCGCTTCGGACCAGATTACTGTGAGCCCGAGTTGGTGAAGCCGAGATCGACAGGACTAGGCTGTGGCGTGGCCTGAACACCGGGACATCCAGGAACCCCAGGTTGAATCACCGCGTCATCGTGCCTTATATTAGGCAGTCGTTGATATTCCGAGGTAATGACCTGAAGCGTCATTGATAGTTCCTGCTCGGTGCGGCTGAGGAGTTGGTGCGGATTTCCACATCATTTGGGAATTGTAGACCGCATGTAAAAGTCAACTGCCTGAACTGATCTTCCGTTGACCATCTCAGTTTAAACCATTTGCATTCCCTCTTCACGATGCCAGAATAAATGACAAAGGCGTCTGCGTCACTTTTCACTACCTTCAAGCGTCAGTAACGTTTGCTCGCCAGATATTTGCGAAAGCGTACGAACCGTTTCATCACTAGTGAAGTCACGTGAGCTCTTTGGAAGATTATAACTAGCGCACTCATTATGGACTACAGGTCCAAGTTTCTGCAGCAGGAAACAAACCTTTTAGCCCCCATCCCGAATTAAAAAGTTCTCCCTAAACGGGTCCCTATGGTGACGAAAGAAAGCATCCAACGTTTTGCCATCCAAAGGTTCATAGAAAACTCGTTGACACTGTCAGTAACTTTGTCCGCCAACGGGATGTTGGACGCAGACAGGGAAGCCGAAGATGAGGTTGATAGTCGCCTGGTAAGTACTTTCCTGCGTTAAAGTTGTTGCTCAAACGCTTTGTCTGACGTAACTTCGTCTCTCGTCCGCCTTAAAGACCCTAATTTCCTAGACACTGACGGTATCCATTCGCTTATCTTAAAAGTTGGTTGCCCGACCTCATTTTTAATCTCTTCAATGTCTCCCCTATCACCTACACAGTCCCAAGTCGGTGTAAGCTTTCTACCACTGCCCCACACTATACGTCGGATCCACAAACTGCCCTAGCCAGCTACCGTGGCATCCACCATATCTGCTTACGCATTCGTATCCTAGAGCGCATTATCAAAGTCCCTGCCAGCTTCACTTCTTTGAGACCACAGAAGCCTAGGGTTCTGGGACGCTCCATTTTAACGTCTATTCGGATATCTAGGATGCTCTTGACCAGGTCATTCATGTTTCTTTGCTGACGAAACTCAGTTCTGTTGACATCGCTGAAACTTTGTTCCAGTGTTTCACCTCCCACGTCCTGGATAGGGCGCAGATGACACAAATCGGTGACAAACAACCATCTCTGTTCACAATTCCAACGGAGGTTTGGCCGCTACAATGGTCTATAGTTCCACTCGGATAGGGAATTTATTTAGAAAGAGAGCACTTACATGAGGCTGACCGAAAAGCCTACAGAGAATATTCCGAGCCCTTGATTATAATACTTCCGGCAAAAGCATCACACACCCTTCATTGGCTGCCTTCGCGTTGTCAGACACAGAAGCATCTGGCCGGCATCCTCTACCATGCTCTAAATACATACACAAAACTGGCGTATGTAACTCTGGGAATGGTTTGGAATACCATCAAAGTGTGATAGCCCTTCCTTGGTAGTTCCACAGTGGCTGTCATTAGAGAGGTATCATCTGCAGATCATCTGCAGATGATCGCCCAACATCACCAACACATTTTATCAGCTTAAAAGGGTTTTCAAGTACTGAATTAACTGATTAGTTAAGGCCGGTGGCTCCTTAACATCACGTGATGAGTTCTTTTCGACCTTTGGTTCGAATTTGGCAGCTTCATTATGATTTGTGCCTCTAAATGAGCCCGTTTCAGTTCAATCTCCTTGTAATCCGATTTTATTGGAGTGTAGCAATTCTTAGGGCTTTCAAAGCTGCAAAGTATTTGCGACTGGACGCAGAATGTGATTCAAAAGTACCGTGGCGCAAAGCGACGTGCATTACAATTGTTTCTTCCCACAGCGTCGATGGGTTTTGCAAAGTCCTTGGCTATTCTTTCATTCACAATGCCTTCAAAGATTGGCATGTTTATTGCGAACAAGACGATGTAAGCTGTTGAGTACTGCTATAGCCAGTGGATATATTTGAGTGGTGTGTAATAACTCCTGAAAGGCAAAGTGAAGTCGGATCCGGGTTTTCTACACAATTCCTGTGACAGGCGAATGGTATCTTCGAGGAAAAACAAAGTCGGGGCTGGGTTTCTATACGGTAATCTTAATGTAAGATAAATTCAAAAATTATACAAACATCGACAGTAGATACTCGTCCAAAACAAATGGTCCAGTTGGACGACAAAAGCACAAACCAACTGCTCAAACAACCACCACGTCAGACACGTTAATATTTTTGACCTCGGATCAAGTGGGTTGATTGGTATGGACAAACAAACGCCAGTTCATATGCACACACGAACCACAAAGATGGATTAGGAGATGCAAGTAAGGAAAGAAGGGACGGGGTGAACTTAAAAGGGCAAAGTAATTGACATTACAATTATGTGTGCAGAGGCGTGGTGTAATGAATGACAGCAAACGCGAAGAGTAGTGTAAAAAGGATCTCTAAAATGATGAAACATATTTCCTGGATGTCGCTGCGTGGGTCGGACAGTGCTATACTTTAGGATGGAAAGATATTGGGGGAGATAGGATCACCAGTCCCCAAAATGCAGAAATCAGCTTCAGTCAACAACTGGTTCGTGGCGCAAAAAGCCTACATACACTTGAGGGCTCGAATCCTAACAGTGGGGGTTAGGTATTTCATCATATCTTTTCAAATAATTTATTGCATGTGAAGACTCTTTGAGGCAGCAGAGAGGAGTGTGTGTTATGTTTGGTTGGCGAACTGTTCTGCAGTTCAGTACCACCTAAGAGGAAGGTTTCAACATCTTTTACCTCGTAAGAAGCCGTGTGCGTCTCAATGTATCCTTCAATTTTTCTATTTTTCGGCAGAAAATGGGTCAGTAATTTACGTCGTTTCCAAGTGGATGACAACCCAGCAGCAGAGGCCAACCTAGCAGAAACAAACAGAACACAGAAGTGCTCTTTCAGTGATTTACTGAATCAGAGGCCATGCTCAGAATCAAGGGCGACGGCGAGATATCCATGCTGCTGGGTGGATCGAGGGTATATGAACGCACCATGGTGCATTGCAGCAAGGGAACCCGCCCCGCAGGGCGTACCGACCACTACACGAGGTGTTCATCCCTCGTGTATGCCACCATATATGCAAGGTGACCAGCCACTGGGTAGTCGTAATTGCTCTTTTTTGCACTGACAGGGAACTTCAGCCACCAGATATCTTCTTCCGTTCAACGGAAAGCCAAGCCAGAAAAACATCTCAGTCAGTTCGAACAAGCGAACAGTGAATGGCCGGGGAAAAAGCAGGTCGAGGAGGATGCAATTTATTTGGCGACTTCCATTTGGGGCGATTGGCAAAGAATGGAAGTACTAAGCCTGTCAAGGGTCAGGCTAGCGATACGTGATTCAGTGTATATTCGTACAAAACCTCTTTATATGGAAGTGCTTTCGGCACCCAATGGAAAATGCTTAGCCTCGTCTCCATGTGTTTCTCACCGACGAAGTACACCGGTGTACGTGATCTGCGAGTCTCCCTTACTCTCTGAAGCACGCTGATCCTGTCACCGGGTCCAGATGAGCCGTCAATATGTGCGTCGAAACGAACCTATCGAAATTCTGACCAATCAGCTTCCAGTCTTCATGCCAGCTTTCTGCTCTTACGCCATGCAGGACGTTGGCTGCGTTTGGGTGTAGCATGACCGACGTCGACCTATATAGCGACCTTGTGGATGGACGCACTCCTCCTACAACTGAATCTAGCAATACGGTAAGCAAAATCGGTTCTATCCGTCCACTTTACCTCGGGGATTCGCTCCCGAACTAAGGCCACAGCCTTATAATACTTCGACCTGTTGACAATGGCTACAATGGCTAAAACTTCGTTCTACTAATAGCAACCATGCCAGGAAGGATGAAGTCGAGCACTGAAAATCCACATCAACAGTAATCTCTATCACCACGGGCCTTCGAAATAACGTATACGTTATAATTTTCCGGTTGTATATATATAGCCAAGCAATCGTTTTTGTGGTTATTTTGAGGTTAGATAGCAGACTCTAAACTGCGTTGATATGTTAACTAACCGACCGATAAACAGCAACTAACAGCGTTTGGCGGTTATTGCCTTAATGACCAAAAAACAGGTTTTCCGGTTATATGACGGTTATATAGCTGTCTTTTACCCACCTGCAACATCAAAACCGCCATATGACAGTATTTATGGTTATATGGAGGTTATAAAACAAACCGCCAACTGCGTTTGAATGTCATACCCGACTGATAACCAAACAACCGTGTTTGCTGGTTATTAAACGGTTAAATAACCATCATTTAACCACACTTCGGCGTTAGTTAACAGCGAATTAACGACCATATAACTGTATTTCGCTTTTATTAGATTTTACCACATTACAACGCATTTTCACTGTATACGTAACCAGGAAATGAGCGTTCCGTAACCGCATTTTCCGGTTGCATCGGCATCAAATAACCGTGTCATAACTTAGTTCTTCCTAACTTGGTTGTCTGATGGTTATTTGAACATTTATTGACCAAATTTCACGGTTACATAACCGTGTAAAAGCGGTTTTCGCGCAGTTAATGTGTGGTCACTTAATTGCTTCTAAACACTTTTACGGCTAACCGCACCATAACTGTAACATTACGACCTATACTCGTAAACACACGGTTAAGCGTACAAACTATCAGACCCCTATTAAAGATTAAGGCCTGGTAACCATATCTCTACACGTGGCTGAACCTACTTCGTGCCTGCTTGTGGAGATGGTTCAATAAGCTGCGTGATCCGACGTCCTCCCTAACGGACTAGTATAGATCTTAAAGAATGGAGAACAGGTATACAACAGGAGTATACCAAAATACAAAAGTAATTTTTTACTGTTAACCAGCTTCAGTCCGATGAAGGCAAATCCAGTATGATTACCCCGGTCTCTGCGGACGTTTGGAACAGTGACGAAATATCAGTGTAAGCGTGCGATGTCTCTGAATATATGGATGTCGTCCAGCGGTAGCGCCCTTTCGGTGCCTAGCTGCCGTGCCACACAAAGGAGACACGATGGCTGGGACACTGCCAGGTTGCCCAAGCCTAGACAGCGAAAGTCGAGAGGCTGAGGTTGGGTTCGAACCGCGGACCGTCTGGTCAGTAAATTAGCGCTCTAACAACTTGGCCTATCTCGATGTCTCTGGTCTGTTGGTACCGATTAACTTGTATGAATACAAACCTATTGTCAGCTGATCCAGACGCATCTTATGGGTCAGTCGGTGCCGCGCGTTACCGAACCATCTCTGGATTTTTTCCTCAATTCCTGTCGCGCGCAGTTTTCGAAATTCGGGTGAGTGAGGACTGTTTCTGAAAAGACGGTTGGCAACATACTTCCGATAACTTACTTTCTGTCCAGGTACACAATCTAGGATACCAGTGTAGGCCACGTTGACGGCGAATTCGTCAACCAACGCCTGTCTCAGACAGAGACGTATGGCGTGTATGTAGTCCCTGGGAAGCAGTGAATGAAGTCAATGAGTAACGTAAACAATGGAGACGGATTAATACAAGTTTCACAAATAATTTCATCCAGGACACAATGATGCAGACCATTGATGGCATTCCTCCCAATCTCAGAAGCTACTCAAGTTCCTGCACTACGTCGTGTAGGTACGTGCAAATGTCCTCGGGTTTACGAACTCCATAAGGACCTACAAAAACACGGCTTTTTTAGGTCACACGACACGTACCAATATCGGTCAGATTACGGCGGTACCGTTGTTGTATAGCCTCATTCCACCTGCACTCATAGTAAATGGACTACATCAGGCTGCTGCGGCAAGAAAGGTGGCAAAGCCAGACGAAGCCCATTCACTGCACCCAAGTGAACGTGTTCCCCTAGGAGGAACTTCTCTGAGGTGATATGATTGGGGCGTTCTTATTATTGTCCGCGCGTTTCGAGGCTGCAGTGATATAAGCAGATGATTCACGGTAATGAGAGGGACATTGTTCGAAATCACCCAGCCTCATCACCCAGCAGTCCCCGAATTTCCATCAACCCTATGTTCCACTTGAAACCAAATTGCACGGATTTGGCGGAGTACACTCGTTTGCAAACAAATTTGGTTTTGCGACAGACTCACCTGAAACTCAGCTGAATCTCTCTCACCACCCACCACACGTTGTTTTGTTATTTGACTGTCAGTTACTTGACCAATGTACTTTATACACCCACCTACCCATTACAAATGACCAAAATAACACTGCTAAATCCATGAGATCCTTTCTACGTAGGAGCAGACAGTGCTCGCCGAAACCTTTCACTCCCTTAAAATTCACGTATGCTATATCTATGAAACACACATACGAAACTCAAGCATGCTTATACGTCAAGCACGAGCTCAGGTCTTTGACGTTTCTTCCTCCTTATGTCCGATCATCCAGAAGCACTGACTCATGGAATGTATGGCATGGGAAATACACTCAGTCCCATAACTGAACTCGCTTTCCTGAATTGGATTCCAGTGAACAGTCATGTTTGCGCTGGCCGGTTATCCAGTCCAATCAAGGTAAATACTTCTCGGCATAAAAAATGGTGCCTGTTTGTAGTGTTGGCATTTGTCTCAATGGACTACAGTTCTGATGCTGAGAAGGATACTTTCTATTGAGCGAGAAACACCGACACTGTGGTCTTCGTGGGCGATATGAACTCTCAAGCCAGTCGTCTGAGCTCTTTGGAATCACATTTGGGTTGTTGATTCGAAGTCGATGCTCGTCACACAGACAACGGAGAGTGACTCCTCTAGTTGTGTGCTGATCACCAACTATTTCTGGCCAGTGCGAACATAAACGTTCGCATCGCATAACTTGGCGACCACCAGCTGCAAATCAACCGTGGACCCAGTTGGATCACCTGGACGTCAGCCACCGGTGGAGAGCTACATCTCAACAATGCTGTTCCTTCTGGAGCACACAACTTGATTCCGATCACGCCATGGTGCCTGCACGCCTGACATTTCGTTTCCTTTCAGGCCCTTGCTTTTCAGCAAGAAGCATACCACTACACCACCTTCGAAAAACTACAGTAGCTGAGTAGTATCGACCTGAACTAGTTCAACAACTCTAAAGTAGACGGATACTGTACTGTTTTAAGGAAGAAAGCCCTTTGCAGCGAATTCCTTTATAAGCAAACACCGAGTAACCAGTTACAAACTATTGGACAGGTAAGTAAATATCTCATATGTACCTAGTTTTTAAAAACTGACCATTGTCACGCGTCTTCTTGAACTTCCATGGATATTCATTGACTATCACGCAATTGTAAACGAACACTGCTGTGCAATTCCACAGGTTCCGCAATAAACTTCACCTCCATCAGACGCGGGTAGGAGCTTCAAAAAAAGCCACAGAAAACTCGCATGCCTAATCAGTAGTATTCGCCGTTACGCATCTGTTCCTTCAAAGGTCACATGCGTGCCGCCGATCTTCATTTACCTCTTTTAGGTCGGCCTCAGCAGCTGGTCTATTCGGCAGATCTTTGGGTGTATCATGTCACTTCCGAAACCGAGTGTCGTTTACTCTTTTCGATCCCCGACCGTCCGGAGTCATGTAGACGTTCTCCGGCCGTCGGTAACGACAAACAAGCCTTGCTACCAACTGCCCAGCTTCCGCGACCCTAGTCCGCACCTTCCATGATTCTGAGAATCCTACCACTCGACCTTCGCGCCTATGGGCCTTTCCACGAGCCGTTTTCTGTCTAGTCCTTTCCTAAATGGTCAAGGTTTCATCGAGCTCTCCCCCTTCTAGCTCCTCCGGAGACAAGCGTGATCAACTGGGAGGGGCGGATGTTAACCGTACATTAGCATGAACGGACACCTATCTAGGGTTGGCTGTATCAAATCACGGTCTGCTAGCACCATCTTCAGGGTCACTTCCCAGTCACCTTTGGCCGACAGCCACTCATTGGCCGTCCGGTTATTGTGTTCGGCTAGGTCGTTTTTGCGGGTAGTAGGGTGGTAGCCGTCTGATACCCATTTTCCGCAAGCAATCCCTCAATTTCTCAAAGCAAGGCCCCTGATCCGTTAAGGTCATTTTTGGCATCCCGTGGTTGGCCACGATTGGGTGCATTACCACTCCACTGGTCGTTGTCGTCCGTTGATTTGGTACGGCTGCCGCGTCGGCCAACCGCAACAGGTATTCTGTCGCCATTACGATTTGTCGATTTCCGCTGGTTGTCACCGGAAAGGGGCCCATAACGTCAATTTCTGACGTTGATTTCTGAAACAGAAATAGGTTCCATGGGATGGGTTGCCCCTGTCGTATCTCCTTTTATCAGTTGGCTCCGCTTACATACTCCATCACCTCACTTCTCATCTCTAGCCAATAGGCCCTCTGCCGAAGTAAGTCCTACGTCTTGGTGCACCCTGTGTGTGCCATCTCGTGGAATTCGACAATCAGTTTCCGTCTCAAGACGCGAGGTACCATATGTATCGCAGCATCAGAATCGGTGGCGTTCTAGGAAATTATACCAGTTTCACTTAGATTCAGTCTATCGAAGTGACTTTGGAACGTTTCTTTTTCTACCTCCCCGTTCTCAATCTACATCCTATCCAACAAGGCGCCTGCAGCCTTCCGTAACACAGTATCCTGCCATTGGAGTTGCGGCAACCTCCCGGGATCCAGTTCGACAACGAGGCTGTCGGCACTAATCATGATCCTGGGAGCCTCATCTTCAGCCTCTGGTCCTGACAGCTAATCAGCCAGGTGATTCTCTCTTCCTGGCACTTGCCAGATCGTGAGGTCGTACTCTGGTAACCGGAATGCCCAGTACGCTAGCTTTCTGCGATTATCTTTGGTGATCCTGATCCACTTCAGGGGTTTGTGATCAATCTCGACATGAAATCTTTGTCCAAGCAGATATGGCCTCCACTTACCTAGGGCCCAGACAATCGCTAAACATTCTTTCTCAATAGTTGAGTGCTTCTGCTCAGCGTTAGTCAGGGCACGACTGGCACATTCCATGACTCCATTCCTCTGCTTTAGGACTGTGCCGATACCGCGGCCACTAGCGTCTGTTGCAACAGTGAACGTCTATCCGACTCTGGTCAGTTTGAGGGTCAGTTGCTGATCCAGCATCCGCGCTTTGACACGCTAAAAAGCCTCATGTGCTTCTCTTGTCCGTTCGAATTCCCGATTTCGCCCAAACAAGTACAGTGGAGCAGTAATCGTATTGAAATCCTTGAAAAACCGGCTGTATTAAGCTGTTCGTCCAAGAAACTACCATAGAGACCGCTTTGAATTGGGAACAGCACAATCCTCGATCTTTACCGATTTTTCTGGCAGTGTGCTTACCAATCCGTGACCCGCTTTGTGTCCCAGCAGTGTCACCGAACTCCGAACAAGCTGTGTCTTGGCTTCATTTACCTTCAGGCCAGCCTCCCGGATCCGCTTCTATCCAGCCTTCAAGTGAACTGCATGCTCTGGTTCTGAATAGCGGTACACAACGATATCGTCTCCGTACACTGCAACATTCTGGAGTCCCTTCGTTAAGCGAAGTATCAAGCGCCGGAAAGTGAATGGCGCCCCAGATAAACCAAACGGCATTCGTCTAAATTGATATTGGGTGTCTTCAACCGTGAACGCCCTTTGTCTTCCGGTCATTTGACTTGATAAATAGTTGCCAGTGTCTGGAGTGCAAGTCGAACACTGTGAATGATCGGGAATACTGGAGTGAGTCGGAAATCTTCGCAACCGAAGGGACAGCTATAACCCGATTCACGGTCAGCTCATTTAAACGCCGGAAATCCACGCGAAATCGGTATTTTCTTGTTCGGCTTCTTTACAAACACAACCGGGGAGTTGTACGCACTGTTGATCATGCCATTTATCAATATCTCTTGAACCTGTTTATGGACCTCCTTTCGTAGATGGAGCGGCAGCGGACGGGTCGTAAGGTCGAAAGCGTCCGGACAAGATGGAAATTCCGTGTCCAGTCCACGAGCAGAAGCCAAACGGAGCTTCATCGCCTGTGAACAGTTCGGAGCATTCCTCTACCACGGACTGTACTGACGGTTACAAGACGTCTTTAACCGTGAACGCCCTTTGTCTTCCGGTCATTTGACTTGATAAATAGTTGCCAGTGTCTGGAGTGCAAGTCGAACACTGTGAATGATCGGGAATACTGGAGTGAGTCGGAAATCTTCGCAACCGAAGGGACAGCTATAACCCGATTCACGGTCAGCTCATTTAAACGCCGGAAATCCACGCGAAATCGGTATTTTCTTGTTCGGCTTCTTTACAAACACAACCGGGGAGTTGTACGCACTGTTGATCATGCCATTTATCAATATCTCTTGAACCTGTTTATGGACCTCCTTTCGTAGATGGAGCGGCAGCGGACGGGTCGTAAGGTCGAAAGCGTCCGGACAAGATGGAAATTCCGTGTCCAGTCCACGAGCAGAAGCCAAACGGAGCTTCATCGCCTGTGAACAGTTCGGAGCATTCCTCTACCACGGACTGTACTGACGGCACATTACAAGACGGAATCCTTAGGATATGCAGTTCGCTCATGACAGTGCTTGAGTAACCTTCAGACCATACTTTTGCAACAGTTTTTCCCGCTTTAGGTCAACCACAGATTTGGCACTCTTGAGGACATCTGCTCCCAATATTGTCTAATCCATGTCTGGGCTGGTTGGGAACTCGTGTTGCGCCGAACCGTCGTGGAGACGCATTGAGTTCATTGATAATGAGTCACTTTTCAGTCGGTCTCCACCCACTGCTATCACGGCCAGCGCACACGGTATGAATTCAGCTTCGCTTTCTCTGCTTCAGCAATACCCCTGCTCCTGTATCAGTTAGGTACAGCTCCCTCTTACCGTCTATCTCGATAGCGGCATGTGTCTGCACAAATCGCCACCCACCCTGGAAACGAGGAGTAACCCAAAGTTTTATTATTTACAAGTGACAAGGTACGACGAAATTGATTCTTTCAGCGGCCATGCATAATATACAAATAACCGTTCAGCTGTTACACCCTTTTGGTGCCTAGATGCCATGCCAGCCGAAGGAAGCATGAGGACTGGGATACTGTCAGGTTGCCCAAGCCTAGACAGGGAAGTCGAGAGACGGAGGTCGGGTTCGAATCATGAACCGTCCGGTCAGTAAATGTGCTCTCTAACCACTGAGCCATCTCACCTCGGCTCGTTCAAGCCTGTCTGCCCGATTTCGTCTTGATGGCTGCAAGCTGTTTGGCTAGCTGGTCCACTGTGGTCTGCAGGTCCCCCACTGGTGAATCCTCCCTTTTACCCTTCGACCACAACGTGGCCAGTGGCGCCTTACCCAATTCCGGTGCCAGATGCACCACCTCCACACTCAACTGGCCAATAGCTCTCGCCAACCGCAACTGGACACTAAGCGCAGACTGCACACCTTCAACGAACTGTGCAGGTAGCAACTGCTGGTGTGACACTCTATCCACTACCGGCAAAGCCCGATCCAAAGACTACTGTGGAGAGCACCATCGGATTTCATCCAGGTCACCTCCTGGTCGCCCTGAACCGCCTCACCTGTCCGACCGATCTGTCGGACTCCATTACAACAGCTTCCTTCTCGGCAGCCCAGTCCATCTTCCTAGGGATCCTTCTGCCTGCATTCAGGGCCAGAGGAGGAGGGTCTTCATCGCCACCAACTTACTCCAGTCGGTCTCCATGCCAGTCGCCTCCGCAACATCCTCGAAACCCTCCAGGACAGTCCCACATCCACATTCTCATAAGTTTGTGGCCACGGGATCTTGATCCGTATCCTGGTCACCGCACCAGATGTAAGGAGAAAAGCTCTTCGCCGCGAAGTCTTTTATTAGCAACTAAGCAGACTACCTGACAGACAGGTAAACGTCTCCTAAGCACCTAGTTTTTGAAAATTGAACATTCACACGTTTTCTTAAACTTCCATAGATATTTGTTGACTATCCCGCACTTGTGAACGAACACTGGAAAACAGTTTCACAAGTTCCGTAACAGACTTCACCTTGCATTAAACGCGGGGCGGAGCTTCGTGGAAACCACGGACTACTCGCATGCCTCGCCAGTATTATCCACCGTTACACTGGTAGTGAACACTTGGATGAGGCGTGGCAAAGTATCAAAGGATCTGTGATATCGGCGTCCACTGATGTGAGTCTGTCTTCTCCGAAATGACCAAATTACCACTAAACATCGTCGAGATCGTCAATCCTCATATATGCCAGAAAATCTGTACCAGCAGGCAACAGATACGACGGCGCACACAAACCCCGTTAGACGTTTAGAATATGTCCGAGAACGAGTTAGAATAGAGCGCGTTTAAGAGGATAAACAGCGTTTTACTTGTCTAAGAACAAGCGTGGATGGGCTAAAACGTACATACAAAGGTTCGATACGAGTATATATGGTAAGTATAATAATAAGCACAGAAAAATCATGATATCCCCCCTGTGCCAAATATTGAAAAGACCGAGAGCTTTGGTAGAGATTGAAAGCTGGAGAGATGGAGAAGACTTTCGTGGGCAGAGACAGCCGTGCTCCATGTCAACTGGTACGATTGATCGGTCCTAGAAAGGCAACGATCGGCAAGTGGATGGGTGAAAAGATGGTCGTCAATTCAGTCGCAAAGACGTCTACTGGGAGGACGGACCGAACACTGACAGCCTACAACACAGCCTGTGGATAATGGGATGTAAACCTTAATTGCTCGTCGGATGAAGAAATAAGATGCATGTCCGTACTAAAACGAGAGGAGGCACCAGGACCGGACAGTCTGTATCCAGCCCTCTTAAAAAAGGCAAGGTTATATTACGCCGACAAGAAATGTCTCATGCATGTCATGTTTCACATTACTGAGGCAGTACGGGTTCCATTTCAGGGTTGTAAACCATAGACTTCCCTATCCCGATGAAAGGTCAGTGAATTTCGGAAATATTGGCGTTTACAATACTGCACTTTTATTAGCAACTAAGCAGACTACCTGACAGACAGGTAAACGTCTCCTAAGCACCTAGTTTTTGAAAATTGAACATTCACACGTTTTCTTAAACTTCCATAGATATTTGTTGACTATCCCGCACTTGTGAACGAACACTGGAAAACAGTTTCACAAGTTCCGTAACAGACTTCACCTTGCATTAAACGCGGGGCGGAGCTTCGTGGAAACCACGGACTACTCGCATGCCTCGCCAGTATTATCCACCGTTACACTGGTAGTGAACACTTGGATGAGGCGTGGCAAAGTATCAAAGGATCTGTGATATCGGCGTCCACTGATGTGAGTCTGTCTTCTCCGAAATGACCAAATTACCACTAAACATCGTCGAGATCGTCAATCCTCATATATGCCAGAAAATCTGTACCAGCAGGCAACAGATACGACGGCGCACACAAACCCCGTTAGACGTTTAGAATATGTCCGAGAACGAGTTAGAATAGAGCGCGTTTAAGAGGATAAACAGCGTTTTACTTGTCTAAGAACAAGCGTGGATGGGCTAAAACGTACATACAAAGGTTCGATACGAGTATATATGGTAAGTATAATAATAAGCACAGAAAAATCATGATATCCCCCCTGTGCCAAATATTGAAAAGACCGAGAGCTTTGGTAGAGATTGAAAGCTGGAGAGATGGAGAAGACTTTCGTGGGCAGAGACAGCCGTGCTCCATGTCAACTGGTACGATTGATCGGTCCTAGAAAGGCAACGATCGGCAAGTGGATGGGTGAAAAGATGGTCGTCAATTCAGTCGCAAAGACGTCTACTGGGAGGACGGACCGAACACTGACAGCCTACAACACAGCCTGTGGATAATGGGATGTAAACCTTAATTGCTCGTCGGATGAAGAAATAAGATGCATGTCCGTACTAAAACGAGAGGAGGCACCAGGACCGGACAGTCTGTATCCAGCCCTCTTAAAAAAGGCAAGGTTATATTACGCCGACAAGAAATGTCTCATGCATGTCATGTTTCACATTACTGAGGCAGTACGGGTTCCATTTCAGGGTTGTAAACCATAGACTTCCCTATCCCGATGAAAGGTCAGTGAATTTCGGAAATATTGGCGTTTACAATACTGCACTCTGACGGCATCAAATTACCCATTTAGAGGGATTTACCAGACACTTCTAGTGCCTCAGATGCATAACTGTGTTTAGGGTTGCATCCATCCAGTTTTGGAGAGAAGCTTCGTACATTCAAGTCACGAAATACATCCCGGAACATCATCATCATCAATGACAGCAACATCAGTGTTGGCACTGATGCTTCACTGCCGTACAACCATA